CAGGGAGTCGGGGGCTTGCACGCCAGGCCTGGTAAACCAAGCATCTTAGCTATTATGCCTGCCTCTGCTGCTGCCTCGTGGCATTAGCCGCAGAAGCGACTTAGCTCTTTGGGCCTCAGCCCTGCCCATCTGCAAACTGGGCGCACAACCTCTGCCCACCCCTGCAACGTGCTTTGAGGCCTGCAGGCAAATTAGCTTTTCCTAAGTGCTGATTTTTTTTCTTTTTCCATTGGTGCTGCAGGCTGGGACCTGGAGCTGCGGGTCGTCCTCAGCTCTGAGAATCCCTCCTGGCTGCGTTACCTGTCGACAGCAGCTTTCAGAGCTCAAGGGCCTAAAAGCATTGGTCCCCTTTTGAAAACCGTGCTGGGGCGGGTGAGCCAGGAATCCAGAGCCTGGGTTTTATCCCCCAGCATCGCTGCTACCTCTTGTCTGCATCGTACCCTGTTAGTGTTGCGTTACAAAGCAGACAAAGGTTTTTCCGTCTCCCTCGCCCCCAGGTAGATGCATTCAGATCGAGGGAGGAATGAAGCCTGTCCCATAAACACAGGGACGGATGAGAACACCTCTATGTGGACACCCGAAAAGCCAGCATATCTGAAGAGTTGGGGTGGGGAAACGCATGTCGTTCAAGTGCCGACATTTGCCTTTGGAGCCTCGGCAGAGCTGGGTTCCTTGCTCCAGGAGCCAGCTTTCTGCTAATGCATTAGCAGTCAGGAGAGCGAGGGAGTCGTATTGCAGCTATTGATCTGTGCTAGTCCCCTCTCCTCTCCACGGCAGTTCAGGTACAAGCATCTGCTTTTCCCCGTGCTACTTTGGTGCACGCGGGGGTAGGCGACGGCATTGTAGCAACACCGAGAGATTGGAGACAGCGCTTTCCCCGTGGGGGAGAAGCTGCCTCTGATGTGGTCTGGGCCAGATTCGCTTCTTGTGCCAACAGGCGCAGCATCCAGAAGTGAAGGGAGCACTGCCCTCTTCAGCCCGGAGTAAATCTGTGCGTCTCTGCACGTTCTCTCAGAGGGCAACTGAGCCCCCCTGGTTTACTCCTGGGTCTCCGCAAGCTTGCAATGTCCATTCACATGCAATAGGCTAGGACGGTGCCCCTGCCCGCTAGACCAGCGAGGCAGTGCAATAACCACCCAGGGAGGCACGGACTCGCCATCACTGCAGGTGTGCAAGAAGAGGTTGGACAGTCATTGGTCAGGGATGATCTAGGCAGAGCGATGCCTGTGTTGTGCTATGGGGATTTCCCATGCTTATGGGCTTGCTGGTTGTCCCTCTTTTCTGCTACACTTGTCAAGGTGTTTCTGAGCCTTCCCAGAGGTATTGGGTGTTGGACTTTGGGCCGTGCCAATGCTCCCGCGGAGACCAAAGCCAGAGGTTCCCGGCTAGAGGGGCTTGCCCCTCTGCTCAGGGTCAGGCTGATGCCACAGTTGGGATCTGGAAGGATTTTTACCCGTATGATCAGAGTGGTACAGACTGGGGAGAGGGTTGCCTTCCTCCGTAGATGTGGGGTGGCCCCCTGTCCAGGACCTCTCGCACGTGTATTGACAGGAGGTCGGCGGCCGTGGTCCCCCTGCTTTCCCTGTGGCAGGTTCGGGTGTTAAGTCTGCATTGTGTCGGGGTCAATGGCTGTCTGGGATGGTTTGCATAGGGCTGATCTTGCCTCCGGCTGGGGATTGGACTAGATGTGAGCTCTGGAGGTCCCTTTTACCCTTCTTCTCTATGACTCTTTTATTAGACCAACTCAAAGAGTTGGAAAAATCCTTCTTAGCAAGCTTTTGGGTATAAATACCGTCTTTGGTCTCCATGCACTCATCTCCCATCCAGCAGGGCAATGACAGGACCCAAGGAGCTGATTCCCCTTTGGCTCACATCAGCATTATTCCCATATACTTTTGTTGCCTTATAGGGCACCACAGTTGACTGGGACGCATATAAATACAGGGCAAATCAAGCTTGTCTTGGATAAATCAATCTGTAGAGTGGGCAGTGCAATCTGAGAATATGTTTGGAAGTTGGCAGCCACAAGACACTTCTCCATCAGCTGGAAAAGGAGGAGAGGGATTGCTTGAGGGAACCCAAGCAGAAGTTTTTGCAATTCAACAAAGGAAAGTGCCAACTAACAATCAGGAAGCATTTCCTAGCAGCTAAGTTATTTTTCCAGGATAGCATCCCCAGGGAAATAACGGACACTCCATTGCTCGAAG